CAATCCCTCCCTCCCTCCCTCCCTCCCTCCCTTCCCATATCTACCACCATCATGCATTTGGTGTTTTTCATATTCTCATGCATGGAATAAAGTTAATTTGAAGGGTTTTTTAAATGTAATGTTTGCAGCTCAGTCTTTAATTGTTCATTTAATGCTATCTTAGTAGATCATGCCTTTACTTTTTGTTCATATTAGTACACTTTGTATAGTAACCAAATTAATTCGGATTCAATTAATTTTTTAAATAACTAAGGTTGAACTGAAGTTTATTTTTAGTCAAGTTTTAGGAACATAATCTTAACAAAATTAATAGTGTAAAAAGATTGCAAAGGGCTATAAATAATTGAATCAACAATTTTAAGGGTTTTACAATATCAATAAGCAAATCTACCTGACGAATTGCAGTATTTATCTGTTTGTAGAATTGGGTCTCTTAGGACCAATATAGTATATGAAGATGCTTTTTTGAGTATATACTTGAAATGATAACTCAATTTCTTTGAAAAATTGCATTTATCACTGAAGAAGACAAAACAATAAAAACAGACTCTCTATAGCAAAAGATAGGAAAAATGGAAAAAAGATAGAAGCAGAAAAATGAGAAGTAAAAACCAAAACAAAACCCACAGCAATTATGATAATAAACTCTCCTGAAAAAAGGTAGATACTCAGATTGGATTAATAACAGTAACTCTATGTGTTACATCTAAAACAAAATCATACAGCTTAAAAACAAGACTGAGCAAAGATATATTGCGGCAGGCAAAAAGAAAGCAAGGGTAATCATGTTATCAAAGTAAAAATCATTAAAGAGTAGAAGTTATATTGACAAAAATATTAGGATACAAGAGGTCTTCAAAGAGTTCATGGAACTATTTGTATTATCTTTTAATTACATTTTTCCATGAACTTTTTGAAGTACACTTGTATAAAATAAAACTATTAGTAATACACTTGGTATAATTTTTTGGAAAGAAATTCAGGAATATGAATCAATAGTCTTAACAATACATGTTTCTCGGAATCAAAGTAAAGTGTTCATTAAGATGCAAGCATAAAGATGTGAAACTCAGTACTATTAATAGCAAAGAAGATATCCAGCAATTGAGAAAATATTAAATCATGGTATATGTGTTCAGCAAAATATGTAGCCTTTAAAAATTGTGTTTAAGAATTTAATGACAAAGGAAAATGTTTCTGATAAGCAAAAGTGCACAAGACAGTATTATAGCATATGAACTCAACTATGTAAAAATATACTTAAATAGAGAAAAAGGCTAGATGAAAATATGCCAAGATATTAATAATAGTTTATATATTGATAGTATTATGGGGTGATTTTGTTTTTTCTTTATACTTTTTCTGTTTTTTCCAGCTTATGTATAGTGGACTTGCATTAATTTTTCTGTACCATGCTCAGCCAGCGAGCGCACCAGCCATCCCTATATAGGATCTGAACCCGTGGCCTCGGCGCTACCAGCACCGCACTCTCCCGAGTGAGCCACGGGGCCGGCCCTACATTAATTTTTCTAATGACAAAAATGTAAGCAAAGGAAATCGAGTATAGATACAGCTTATGTTAATATTTTACTGCTTATTTCATCTTTTAGATTGCTATTTAAATAGAATGGTTTCATAAGTTATTTTAGTTTGAAAGATCGAATTTACCCTAGAGGCTGATTCTGAAGTCTAATGTAAGCTCCAAATTATTAAGACTTTTCTAAATACTTTAGAAATTTATTTTAGAATAATTCAAATAAGAAATATAGATATACTTTTTGTGTTATATCAGATTTTGTTTTTTAATAGGGCTTTGCAATTTGCTGATGTAATTGTGTTGTTTGGTGCCAGACTAAATTGGATTTTACATTTTGGACTGCCTCCAAGATATCAGCCAGATGTGAAGTTTATCCAGGTACTTAGGAAAGATTTAAAATTAGAGTTATCTACGGTTCATTGTTCTCCCTCTCAGCCATTACCAGCTCTGCTTTTTTCTTGGCTTTTGTAAAGAACAATTTCTCTTTATACAAAAGTAGAATTTTATAAATTGTCTAACATAATTACAGGTACCAAAGTAAGCTGCCTTTTCAAGCCTATGAAACACAATGTGCCACTTTACTTCTAACCAGAAACCCTTTCAAAATCAAGTTTCAAGTAGTTTGAAAGCATAATTTTCCTCTTCTTCACAGTTCAGGTATATTTAAAGGTAGAGAAAAGAGGTTTAAGTAGGATGGTAGATTAGAATGAAACATTCAGCATTGTTAGGGAGTGAGTTTTTCTTTTAGATGCCAAAACTTACTTTCATTCTTTGGTTGGAAATCTCTAAACTATAGTTTACCTATGTTATTAAACAGAGTGTCTGGAATATATTGACCTCTCTTTGATGACTTGTGTATGGTGATAACCCTCTTTATAAGCCAGTTTTCTAAAAGAAAGGAAGAAAGAGTGAGAAAGAAAGAACATTGAGCTTTCAGAAAGAAGGATCAGAACTGTGGTTACTAGAGGGGGTGAGGGGGAAGGGAAGGGAGGTTAGGTAGGAATTGATTAATGGACACAAAGAATGAATGCATACATCGTGTAATGATGAATATGCTAATTTTCATGATTTGATCATATATTGTATGCAAATACCGTTAGTCAGTTCTGTACCCCACAAATATGTACAATCAATTAAGTTCTAATTTTTTTTAAAAAGCCAGTTTTCTACTGGTGGGGAAAATACTACCTACATAGTGACATGCAAAACTGTTATCCCTACCTGGATTGGCCCCATTCCATTTGGTGTCTGGTGACCGAAGCTGCAATTGCTATCTTCTTCCAATCTACCTTTTACTTCTAAAGTTTGCTGTCTTCCCAGTCTACCTTCTTAAGGAGGAGAGAACAGAACTGAGATTACCAGAGGTGGAAAAGGAGAGAGAGGAGAGATTAGCGAGAAATTGGTAAAGAGCCACAAAAAATGATTACACTGTGTAATGCTGAATATACTAATTATCCTCATTTGAGCACACAGGTAGTGATATTCAATGCAGCATTCCACAGATATGTGCAATCCATTATGTTTCTATAAAAAAAGAAAAACAGAAAAAATTCAGTTCCATATGGCTCATTAATGGCAAAGCTGGAATTCGAATCCAGGGTTTTTTTTTGTCTTTTTTCCGTGTCCGGCTACGGATCGCAACCCTCAGTGTTGCCCCCGCACCGGGCCGGGGACCGGCAACGGGATTGCAACCCTCAGCGTCGCCCCCATGCCTCGCTCAGCCAGTGAGCGGGAACCGGTCTGTATGTGGGATCCGAACCCTTGGGCGGGAGTGCCGCCGCGCTTCCCAAGCGGCGCACTATCCAGTGCGCCACCGGGCCGGCCCCAGGAGTCAACTTCTAATAGTCCCATTCCCACCTGAGAACATTGAGAACTAAAACCACAAACAAGCAAGACTGTGGGTTGTACCTGGAAGGTGCTGCCACCTCTTGGTTGCCTCTCCTCATTACAGAATAGAATGCATTCCCTTTGGGGTGGCTAAATTATTCCTCCTTGCAGAAGCTATTTTCACTTGTCCATGGCCATCCAGAAATGGATCTTCTGAGTAAATGGAGAAGAAATCATGCCATGTCCTGGGAGTGGTTCTCAAAATGGTTTCCAGGGCCAGAAGTATCAACACCACCTGGGAAACCTGTTAGAAATGCACATTTCCGGACCCCATCCAGACCTATTGAAATCTGAAACCCTGAGGTGGACTACTACAATCTATAGTTTAACAAGCCCACCAGGTGATTGTGATACATGCTCAACTTTGAAAACTCCTGCTATAGATAGGAATTCCAAATATAATTCAGTAGAACCTTATTATTGATTAGATTCAAAACTATAATTGATCAGGTCAGACGCCTTCCTGTGGCATAATGGAACAATACCAAAATTCCACAGAGTAGATTTTAAAATGAGGGACTATGACAAGGCTCTCTATACTAGCTATGATACTTATATAGTTCTATGGACTTTTATTAAGGAACTTCTTAAATATCAAATTTTCTTTATCGTATACGAAAGCACTTCAAAAAGTTCACTGGAATGATTTGTATTATCTTTCAATTCAATTTTTCCAATGAACTCTTTGAAGTATCCTCATATATACACTTTATTTATTCAGCCTTAAATTGATTTCTTAAAAATTTTTAAGAATAAACGACTTATTCTTCAGCCTTGTCTGTTTTTTAGGTTGATATCTGTGCAGAAGAATTGGGAAATAATGTAAAGCCTGCTGTGACTTTGCTAGGAGACATAAATGCTGTCACTAAGCAGGTAAGAACTTTTGTCTGGGTTTTAGTTTATATGGATTGGTCTTAAGGGAACAGTCAATTCTTGAAAATGTTTTAATCTTGATTTGCTTGGTAATACTATTAATATGAATTTTAAACAAAATTTGTGATGGAAAACTATTCTTAAATATAACTGGAACTTGGTAAATCAACCTTATTGTACATAGTTCATTTTTATGTGAGATAAGCATTTTTGGAAGGCAATTGAAAAAGTTTTTTCAGAAGGCAAACAGTGATTTACTAAATAGGATCCAGCTATCTGAAAAAATAATAAAACTTCCAAAGGAACTGAACTTGCAGCCAAGAAATGGCTAACACACTGGAAGTACCTAACAGTGTTTCTTTAGTTGATAAAAAGCTTTTCACTCGGGCCGGCCCGGTGGCGCACTGCTGCAGTGCGCCGCTTGGGAGCGTGGAGGCGCTCCCGCCGAGGGTTCAGATCCCACATACTGACCGGTTCCCGCTCACTGGCTGAGCAAGGTGCGGGCGCGACACCGAGGGTTGCGATCCCGTTGCCGGACATGAAAAAAGACAAAAAGAAAAAAAAAAAAAAAAGCTTTTCACTCTTCAAACTGTAATCAGTGACTTGCCCAGGGTCTTATTATTTGTACATAGTTTACACATTTCACTGTGACAGGAGATAAAATATAGTGATATTTATCACTTGATTTTGGATAATACAAATTGGTACTGTTATCTTGATTACACAGTGTTAGAGTGCAGTCCTCAAACACGTATTAAATCACGCTGGAGCGTTTAGTCTGTATCATAGGAATCCATAGGTATTTGTTGGCTTTCTGCAAGGTTTCTATAGAGGGAGGAGGTGGTTTTCCTTTTATTGAGAAGGGCCTCAGAGCCCCTGCCTGTGAGGGTTGGAGTAGATAGCATTTCACTCTGTGCTATGGGAATCCCAACAGTTGGCAGAAATCCACACTGGCTGAAACAAAAGCTTATTGGGAATGGTAGAAGAGTACATCACTATTGTCTCCTTTAAGAAGAGATTTTTATGTTAATATGATTAAAGTTTATTTTCAAAAAGGAAAAAAGTTTGTTTTCTTAGCTTTTAGAACAATTTGATAAAAAACTGTGGCAGTACCCTTCAGAGAGCAAGTGGTGGAAGACACTGAGAGAAAAAATGAAGAGAAACGAAGCTGCATCCAAGGTAACACAGGACCCACTGAAACTCAAGAATGCAGTTCTGCCATAACATGACATATACATTTCTAAAAATCACCTCCCTGTGCAAAATCATGTAGAAAAAACTACAGGGCTTATGGGGAAAAGGGGCTAGGGTACAGCTCTCAAAAACTTTGTGAAATGTAAACATAAGATAGGAACCTAATAAAAATGGTAGCAAAGTCTTAAATGGTTAGTGTGTGTGTGTGTGTGTGTGTGTGTACTGCAGTAAATATGGCACTTGGGAAAAGATTGAAATTTCTTGTGGAATTGGGCATCAGAAGGGTTGCAACTTGTGAGTTACTGTGTGGTGGTGGAAGGAGGGTGATCCAATGTTGGACAGAAAGTTGTAATAGTAGATGTGTGTGGCTCATTGTCCTTAGCGTGACTTTGGCACAGAGTATCACAATTAAGTGATCTTTTAGAATCGTAAATCCTGGGGCATATTGGGGCATGTTTTTCTGACTTTAAGATATAGGTCCTTCAAGACATATGATTGTGTTAGATAGTAGTTTCATTAAAATTGAAAATTTGATCCAATGTATAGCCTTTTTCATTTAACTTTTTTATTGGTGCTGAAACTCTTTTACAGCTTTCTCATCTGCACTCACGGCTTTGCCTGATAGCGAATGCTTTGGAAACTGTCTTGATGTTTGAAACGACCAAACCATTTACTACTAGCACTAAAATGAGCCACTTGTACATGATTTGGTGATTTCTGTTTAAATTCTTTGTGTGTATATATAGTGCTTTCTCTCTGACTATGAGAAATGTTGTTCCTGATTTTTTTCACTGTTTTATGTATTCCTATGTATCTTGGTTCAGCTGGGTGCAGTTTTCTGTGTTCACTAGTGTTTCTTGCTGGTGGAATCATGCATAAGCAAATGTGAAATGTGAGTTATTTGGTTCCTTAATATATCAGTCATCTTAGAAGAAATGACTATTTCTCTTATCAGGAGCCAGTCTCAATTCTTTTTCATGTGAATCATATCATAACTAATCCCTTCTTTCCCCTAGGAATCACCTTAGTTTAAGATGGAAGGAACTTGCCTCTCTTCTCTGGTGCAGGAATATAGGAAGGTCCCTCATCCATCTTGGGTGTAATCTCCAACAGAAAAAAGTGGCATAGGTGAACAGACAGTGCTGGGGAAGGATGGGACTGTTGCTGCTAGTGCCCAATGCAGCTTTCTCTCAATTCTAAAAGGAATTTGGCTAGACAAAGGCATTACCTTGCTGTTTTCCCCTTCATTCTGGGACTCTTTAGAATATGGGTGTAGCATATCTCTATTCCTCTGCAGTGTGTGGGAAGAATAACCAGGATTTCAGATGTTTTCTAAAATCCTGAGATTTTTTAGTTTAGGGCCATTTTTTCAGATGAAAATATTCTGAAATAAAAATTTCACTTTTTCAGAGGCAATGTTATCCTAAGTGCTCAAATAAGAATGTTTAGTTTTGTTTAATCCAGTGTTTCCTAGCTGTCTTTACTATAGCACTCCTCAGAGTTTCTCATATGCTAATATACATTGTGGATTTCCACAAGGAGTGATATTCCCCCACTTATTTGTGTCCCAAACTAGGGCTGTGAGACACATGTTCCTTAGCATGTCCCCCAGGACTGTTCACAGGTCAGTTGGCTTCTCACAATGACTGACCATTTTCAGCCGTTTGGGAACCTTGTAACTTGCAGCTGTTGTCTAACTATTTACAAGTAAGTTTGATAGTAACTTATTGACATTGGTTATTTTTATTGTATCCCAATCTAATTTGATTATATTCCCCTCTGTATTGTTTTAGGAATTAGCTTCCAAAAAATCCCTGCCTATGAATTATTACACAGTATTCTACCATGTTCAAGAACAACTACCCAGAGACTGTTTTGTGGTAAGTGAAGGAGCAAATACTATGGACATTGGACGCACTGTGCTTCAAAACTACCTTCCCCGTCACAGGTAAGGCTTCCAAGAAAGCAATTGCAATTAATTACAATGTGTTTAATTGAAACTATAATAATGCAGATTAAGAAAACATTTAAGAATTATAAATGTTCAGTGTATAAGGACATATTTCATTAAAGTATTCTTAGCTGAGGTTTTGTAGAGTTTGTGTACTTGATATGTCCTTGGTATCATGTGATAATTTATATACTCAGTGTTCTAAGCATATATTGATAGTCTTCCAAGTAATCACACATGGTTTTTCTGTCTCATTCTGCTTTGACAGATTAGTTCTTCAGTCTAAAATTTTTATATTAAAGAAGGCGAATGTTTTTATGTTTTTTATTTTTCTATGAACCATGTGGATATGACTAGAAAGTTTGTGCCAACCTGACACTCTGTGACATGCCCCAGAGAGTTTCATTTGAGCTTTGTTCTCCAACAGGCTTGATGCTGGTACTTTTGGAACAATGGGAGTTGGTTTGGGATTTGCTATTGCAGCTGCCGTAGTGGCTAAAGATAGAAACCCTGAGCAACGGGTCATCTGTGTGGAAGGAGACAGTGCATTTGGGTTTTCTGGCATGGAGGTAGAAACCATCTGCAGGTAAAACAGCATCCTGAACCAGAGCATTTCATTCTCCGAAATATGAAAAATTACAGAAGAGACCTATTCACCTAACAAATACTTTCTAAGCATTCAGCATGTGCAAGGTGCCCTGTGCATAGCACTGTGCTATGTCCTGAGGATTCTAGTGTAAATAATCCAGGGTCTTTCTCTTCCAGGACAGTGTGTTTGTGGCCTTCTCATGACATCTGCAAAATCTGTAAAACTGTGGGGAATAGTTTTGAAGTCACTGAAAAAAATGTGTTTTGGCCTGAGAGCAGCTTGTTTTCTGCAGGGAGATAGAGGAGCTTGGTGGTTAAGAGCATGGCCTCTGGAACAGACAGCCTGGATTTAAATATAGGTCTGTCACATTAGATCCAAGTGACTTTGGTTAAGTCACTTAACCAAGCCTCCATCTCCTCTCCTCCAAAATTGGAAGAATAATAATAGGAACAAATGAGATAATCCAGTGAAGTTTCGAGATGACGCTCACTGAATGAGAACCATTCAGATTAGGTTTGTGGTTATGAAGATTCATGGAAAAACTCATCAATTGTAGGTCCTACTACAGAAGTATGGGTTTTTTTCCTTTTCCCAACTATATTTAAACTGTAGTAAAACCATTCTATTCTTAGACAGGGTTCTTATTAGGGCCTTTGGTGAATCATGTTTTGGGGCTTTCAAAGCTTTGATAATATAAAACTTTCAAAATCAGGGTGAAAATATGTGCCTGTTAGAGTGTCTGTATGGACAACCTAGTGATATACACCAAAAAGATGATTTGTGCGGAAGTCAGCAGTCTAGAGAATAATGATTCCCTTCAAGCAGGGATAGCAAAATAGTTACCACACCCTGTTATTTTACAGTATGCAGTTTAGTTTTGTTTTTACCACTTGCCATTAGAAATTATGTCTGTAGAAAATAAAACCCATGTTCTTTTTCAGTTGTTAATAAAGTTTAATCAGCTTTTTAAAAATCTTACCTGTAGTATTTAGCACTTTGTTAGATACTCTTTTTTCCTATTGATTACACCAAGTAAAGTATTTTTAATTAGGGTTGTGGTGGTTTGAGCACAGATTGTGTATACTAGTCTCTTGTGTATCTCCCACAGCACGTAGCAAGGATTGGTAGTGTATGAGGAGCTCAGTAAGTAGAAAGTATTTTTCAAACAGTGCTCCTAGGAACCACCTAAAAGTGGTGCTTCAGAGGGTATTAAGTAGGGAAGGCATTTACTACCATCCAGATTTGTGAAAACCCAGATTTAGAACAGCTAAGTGATCTGCCCAAGATTAATGGTTAAGTAGTGGTAAAACTAGGTCTACCAACCCCCAATCTTGCATTCTTTCTACCATTGCATGATGTTTCTGTTAATGATTTAATATTCTTTATTAGGATAATAAATGTTTAATTTTTAGTCTTCCTCTAATATTACAAAAAACTTAGAGAAAACTTTATTCATTTTTAAGTTAAAATTTCAGCCCAAAGGAGAAAAATTGCTTTAGAATGAAGAATGATTTTCCTCATATTTTGCTCTCTCTTTGAGGTATAACTTGCCGATCATACTCTTGGTGGTGAATAATAATGGAATTTACCAAGGTTTTGATTCAGATACTTGGAAAGAAATATTAAAATTTCAAGATGCTACTACAGTGTAAGTAACCCAGAACAATGTATATATACTTTCTCTCATCTATTTTGATCTCTTTTTTAAAAGTCTGCTGTTTTGGAATGTGCTTACAGGGATTGAGTATCATTTGTGTAGATTGTCAGCCCCTGTAAAGGGCAGGAACCATGTCTTCATGGTTTTTCTTTGCACAAATATCCATGATTAGGTGCTTCAATAAATAGGTTAAGATCAGGGAGCACTGAAGACTCAGATGAGTGTGTATGATGATGTCTGAGCCTTGTTAATGACAAGGCTTATTGCAAAATGCTCCCAGTCCTACTATTCATGTTACACTAGGTAGGAATATGGATGTTTACATATTATTTATGATCTAGAGGTCTTCCTTCCTTTTACCACTTAGCTAAATCTTGGTCATGTGATGACAGATCCAAACTAAGACAGTGTTGTATTTAGCTGTACAACAGCTGTATTTTGTACAGTATGAGATAGAAGTGAATTTGTGGGCCATCCTGGGGGCAGAACAGGGTAGGGTATGTTTATGCCTCACTGACTTCGTTTGTTCTGTTGGTATTTGTTTTGCCATAACCATTCCTCTTTCCCCTTTTTCTTTCGCATTCGTGATAGTTGATAGTGTAGCCTATGCTGTCTAGTACAATAGGTACTAGCCACATGTTGCTCTTTAAATTTAAGTAATTTATTTTAAGTGAAATTAAAAATTCAGTTCCTCATTTTAATTAGTCACATTACAAGTGTTCATAGCAATAGGTGGTTAGTGGCTACTGTATTGGATAGCAGAGATATAAAACATTTCTATCATCACAGGAAGTTCTATTGGACATTGCTATATAAACAAACAAACAAAAAAAAGGAAAATTTAGTGTACTTGCATCTCAGCTTATGTGTTGGAGATAAAAGTAAACCTCTCAGTTCACCGTAAATTTTTTCTTGAAATATTTCAGAGAATGACTTTTTTCTAAAAGCTTTAAGGTTTAAATTTCATTGACTCATGACCTTGTTTTTAGGGCCCCTCCAATGTGTCTTCTGCCAAACTCGCACTATGAGCAGGTCATGACTGCATTTGGTGGCAAAGGGTATTTTGTACAAACACCAGAAGAACTCCAAAAATCCCTGAGGCAGACCCTGGAAGATGTCACTAACCCCTCTCTTATCAACATCATGATTGAGCCACAAGCCACACGGAAGGCCCAGGTAAACGCGGATGCTAAGCTGAAAGAAAGAAATGCATCTGTCCTCCACACCCCTCAAAGAAGTACCTACCAAACAGAACACCCTCCAGTGTCCACAGAAGTCTTTCTAAACTATTTCTGAGTTTGGCAGTTTCATTTGTTTATTCAATGAATATTTATCGAGATACATGTTAGGTTCTAAGAATAGAATGGTGAGCAAAACCAGGCTCAGTCCTCACCTTCATGGAACTTACAGTCCATTAGGGAAGAAGGATAGTCCACTAACCCCACAACTGAATGAACGCATCGTGACGGAGTGAGGTAATTGCTTGGAAGAAAAGGAACCCAGTTCTAAGCAAACCAAGGCATCTGATTTATATTGGGTTACAGGGAAGGATTCTCAGAGGAAGTGACACTTAAACTGAAGGATGACAAGGGACTAACTCAGCAAAGAGGAGAAGGAAGAGATGTGCAGAGGCTCTGTGGCAAGAGGCAGCGTGGCAAGTATGAGGAACTGGAGGAAGGCAGAGTAGCTGGAAGACAGGGAGTGGAGGAAGCCCAGTGGGAGCTAAGGCTGTCATAGGATGTTTGATGCAGTTTCAAACTTAGTTACTTTGACCTCTAAAACAAAACTATAGTGTAGATTACAGCAGTGAAATAAATGTCAGTGTGTGTAGCATGATCCTCTCCCACCCAGATGAAGTTGATTTTTATACTTAATTTTGTACGCTGGTCCTGGGCCTGCCACTTGCCTCCTCTTATATACCTGTCCCTTGTGCTTACACCTTGCGTATTAGCCACTCTTTTCAGGGAAGATATCTTTTTCAAGTACTTTATGCCTTGGTTCTTATACCTATATCCACTGTGGGATCTCTTTCTTTTTTGAACGAGGCAGGGGACGAATGGGTGAACAGACACCTGGATAATCAATGAAATATAAATTAACTAATTTGGAAACTGTAAAATACATAGGATTCTAATGAAATTCTGTTTGTATGGAAACAGACGTCAGAGACTTTGGCATTTACCTCATAGCAGAGAGAAGAGATACTCAAGAAGACTGGTGATAAGGAAGCACAGAAAGACTAGGCCAGTAAGGCGTTGGGTGGGTGGCATTAGCAGGGATTTCTGTGAAGCAAGCAGGCAGACATTTTAAGGTACAGTTAACAACTTTCAGTATACTCTGTACCCCCGTGGGCTTATTGATTGCCTTTTCTTCTTTAAAGCTTTATTTGTTGAAATAATTTTTGCCAGCCAGACACCCAATAGACAGGTTTTAAAATCTCTTGTCATTTTATTAATTTATAACTGGGTATATATTTTCCAGCGACTAGAATGTTAGTTTTGCAACCCAGGATGCCCTCCTCCTGGCATCAGGGCATCACAGTACTAGGGAAACTAAAGCCACTATAAATAGCTTGATGAATACATATAATAAAAATAATTTTGAGACCTGTGTTAGTAAATTGTCCCCTCTCTGCTAGTGAGTTCACCCTTCTAAAGATCTGCTTCCAGTGATCTGCTCTACAACTTCTCTGTGAATTTTATTCAGATATTGCTGGAGAAATATAAGTTCTTATCTTCCTTTTTTATAATTTGATGAGGATTATTCTTTATTTCTTGCATTTATCACTTCAGCTTTATTTATATTCATTCCAGTGGAATTCTACATATATTGTAGTTTCCAAGCTTTTGATTTTTCATTGATTGTCTGTCTGTCCATCTGCCATTTGTCATTGACAGGGTAGGCTGGCTGCTCCCTGCTTTAATACCTAAATCTCTGCAGTAGCCTGTGTCCAGGCTATATGTGTAGGATGATAGGCCTGGAAAAGGCTTCCATGCACAGTTCTTTCTACCCATGTCCTTCTCCAGGAGCTCGGCCTTTTGTGGGCCTCGTTACTTTCCTCTCTCCTTTTGAGTGTGCTTCTGCTTCTTTCAAACTCTAGTTGGGTTTTTTTTTCCCTTTTTGTCTTTTTTCGTGACCGGCAATGGATCGCAACCCTCAGTGTCGCACCCGTACTGGACTGGGACCAGCAACGGGATCGCAACCCTCAGTGTTGCGCCCGCACCTCACTCAGCCAGTGAGCGGCCGGTCTGTATGTGGGATCCGAACCCTCGGCGGGAGCACCGCCGCGCTCCCAAGCGGTGCACTGTAGCAATGCGCCACCGGGCCGGCCCCCAAACTCTAGTTTTTTGTGCCCTGATCAGTCTTAGTGGAAGAGGACCCAGAAAGCCATTATAGGTTGTTTTGTAGGACAAGGTGGCAAGGATCACTAATGGATTTTTAGCAACTCTTTGGGAAAAGCACTAGACCAAAGACAAACCTCATTTTACCACCATTGTGTGGGGCTTTTAGATCAGTGTGGATATAGTTTGAGACAATTATTTCTTTTGACTGAATGTTGTCTTTTCTTTTTCTAGGATTTTCAGTGGCTGACCCGCTCTAATATGTAAATACAGATGCCGGTGGGTGGTATTGAGGAATTTTCTCTTTTCTGCAAGATGGAATTTTATTTGCCACAACAAAATTACTATAATGTTAAAATCATGCAAAGAAAAATAAAAAAAAATTTTTAAATGACATTTTATAGTAAAGGAATTGATTAAAAACAGAAAAAGTTACCAGTATTCTACCTCAGAAATAACCACTTAAAGATAAAAGAAGTGGAAGAGTTTTATTAAACAATAGCAGTGTAACTGCCTAACCACTGAGTTATTCGTCGGTATTCTTTTAAGTAAACTCACTGTGGAAGTACATATCTTTTAAAACATCTTCCAAAGAAAAAAGCTCTAGGAGTTGTCTGATGTAGAGACATGTTCAGTAAGTTGAAGCACTTAGGCTCTTTCTACTTCATATTTTATCTTTTGACCACTTAGTACCTTAGTCTCCCCCAGGGTTTAGTCGGACTTGTCCTATATTTATGAGGTTTTTTTTTTTCCCCACCCTGGAAAGAACTTTTTTTTTTTTTCCTGGTGGCTGGTTGGTCCAGGGATCCCGAACCCGTGATCTTGGTGTTACAAGACTGTGCTTCCTGGAAAGAACTTACTGAGCCAAAGGAGAAGTCACATCATACCCAAACTAATAGTTACAGGGTGTATTTGAATTAACAAGCTTAGTTTATGCATACCGCAGTAAGACCAAAAGAGTTAGCCTTAATATATAAAGAACTCTTATAAATATGAAAAATATTAATGTCTCAGTAGAAAAATAGGAAAAGGGCATGAATGTATAATTCATAGAAAAATACAAATGGTCAACGAAAGTATGAGTATGAATAAATGTGAATATGTAAGTTATACTGAAAATCCTTTTTATTGCCTATTCACTTGGTAAAGAGCTTTTTACATTGTTCTCAGCACAGGTGAGGGTGAAGTGAATGGGGACTCCTATGCTGCTGATGGAAGCTGAAATTGGCACATTTCTGTAGAGTAATTCTAGCAGTGCTTGTATTTGGAATCTTAAAAATGTTCATACCTGAAAACTTTCGATCCAGTGAGCCTCTGTATCTCACTTATCTTAAAGAAATGTATCTTGAAGAAACAATAAATATTTGGTCAAATATTTATATAAAAGGCCATTCAGCATAGTTTTATTTAGGAACAACCCCAGTGTTTAATATTGGGATATTAGTTACATAAATTATGGTCTGTCATCATAAAGTAAAAATTGTGTTAAGTAATATTTATTAATGGAGAAATAATCACAGTATAATATGTGAAAATGGCAAGCTAGAAGTGGAATGGGGCCAAGTAAGCAAATACACCCTACATACATATATAGAGAAAAAAGACAGACACAAAATAAACTGAAATTTTAATACAACTTGATAATGGAATTATAGGTAATTTTTTTTTCTTTTTACAAAGTTTTAAACAATTATGTAATTATCAGAAACATTTTTTAAAAATATTACAAATAGAAAATTATAATTTATTTTCAGAGTCATTCATGTTTATTATCTGCAATTTTATATGAATTGAGCATAGGACTTTATATCAAAACTTGGCTTGTTTGCACTGTCTGTATCAGACTGTCTGCGCTGGCTAGTTAGGTGCAAACCAGGAGATACTTGCAGGGAGCTGTGATTGGCCCCTGACAGGCCCCTGGAAACAGGCCCACTCAGCAGATATTCTTATGTACTTTTAAGTATAAAGTAGCCTGGGCTACACAGGAGAAAGAGAACATGAAAAGGAGCATTCGGACTGGGTAGCTTATGTAGTCTCATCAGTTCTTTGCCTATGGACGCTTTCCTCTGGCAGCCAAATGCAATACAAGACTTTGCCGTAAGGTGGTATAGAGGACTTGATGAATATTTGTGAATTGAACTATATAAATGTTCCTCAATACTAAATATACAACAGTCCCCCCTTATTTGTGGTTTCACTTTCCATGGTTTCAGTTTTCCATGCTCAACTGTGGTTTGAAAATATTAAATGGAAAATTCCAGAAATAAACAATTTATAAGTTTTAAATTGACTACTGTTCTGAGTAACGTGATGAAATCTCACACTGTCTCACACCATCCCACTCCATCCTGCTGGGTACATGAATCATTCCCTTGTCCAATGTATCTGCACTGTGTATGCTACCTGCCCCTTAGTCATTGACATTGTCTGCTCCTTTCTGACATCCAACCATAGATGTTGTCATGGCTTGATGATCCAGGATCGCCCTAGGCAGATGGTCCACCTGCTCATGTATCCTCAGAAGGTCAGTAGTAGCCTACCTTTGTTACCTACCTGCATCACTCACCTCACTTCTCCTCATCGTGTGGCATTTCATCATTTCACATCATCACAAGAAGCGGGGGTAAAGTACAGTAGAGTGTTTTGAGAGAGAGACCACATTTACATTGTTACAATTTTTTTATTAGTTATTGTCATTATCTATTACTATGCCTAATTTATAAATTAAACTTTATCATATGTGTGTATGTATGTATAGAAAAAAACATAGCGTCTCTAGGGTTCGGGACTATTGGCGGTTTTAGCACCCACTAGTCTTGGAACGTACTGCCCGCTGATAAGGGGTGACTGCTGTAATTTGGGAAAAATGCCTCTTTCCTAACCATATTATCTTAAGAGGAAAAAAAAAGTTGAGAAGTTATTAGACTGTCCAGCAGAGGTCAGTCTGAACGTATAAAAACCAAATTAGTCCAGAAGCACTTTTCAGACATTGGAGGGGAGCAGCGCTATGCCTGGGAGATGTGGGTGGCCTCAGCATAAATGTAGGTGACAGGTTTCAAAGAGGCACATGGGGCTCTTGGTCAGTCACTCTCCCATAGTTGGAGGAAGATTCTCATGTTTGCTACATACACCTTCTGACAGTCTCTTTGCTGCCTTTAGATTGTTAAAGCTGAAAAATTGGGAGGCAAAGTTCATTCAGCAGACTTAAAATCCAAGGATCCAGAAAATCCAAGTCCACCTGCAGCTGTCCCTCTTGGACAGACAGATGGTGTCTCAGAAAAAGCTTTGAGTATGTCAAGCCTGAGTTTCTGTCCTGGCTCCACTTTGATAGTTATACAACCTCCCTGAGCCTCACTTTCCTCAGCTCTATAATGGGGGTAATAAAATGCCTGAGTTACAGAGTTGCTGTAGCATATGCTGCTCGTAGAAATGCTTAGCAAGAAACCTGCCACAAAATAGCTCCTTGATAACCATTAGCCCCTCTCCCTTCACTCCCTCTTCACATCTCTGGACCCCAACCCTGACAGAGTAAAGGATCAGGAGAAAGCTGGCTTTACTTCATTGTGGAACCCTCTGGTAAGAAAAGTCCCTGCATCTGTACAGTTACTGTGTGTTTTTGACAGCCAGTCTGTTGCCCCCTGGGGAGCTGGCCATGGTCAACACTTAATTTGGCTGCCTTCTTTCCACACTTCAGCGCAGGGCTGTGTTGTCAGTGTAAACTCAGGAAAAGGCACATTCATTTGGGCCAAACTGAATTAGCCAGGCCAGTCAGCAGCCAGGAAGTCATGTGCTCCTTTCCCAAACTGAAGATAAATTATTTTGAGATTATTCACTGTTTGGTGTTATCTATGCCACAGCTCCCGCCTATTAGAACACATCAGAGAAAATTGGCTGTAGCCTGTTAATGGATCTTCATCAAACCATTTGCCAGTCCTGCTCCTCTGTGTTCTCATTTGTGAGAAGAGTTTTTGAAATCCACTCACAGTTCTCAGCCCTGGCAGCACGTTGAGATCACCTGGGGAGCTTTAAGAATTCCCAGGCCACACCTCAAACCAATTACATCAGAATCTCTGAGGTGGGACTCAGGCATCAGTATTTTTTTAAACTCTCTAGGTATTCCAATGTGCAGCCTAGTTTGAGAACCTGTGAAAGATGATTTCAAAGCTTCCTTCCATCTCTAATTCCAGGGACAGTGACTTTGAAGAGGGTACAGTCTACTTGTAATTTAATTCATTCAAATAGGAATTGTAAGAATGAATATTCCAGCAATTTTATAGTTTTATACTCTTTTTTTGTTTTTCTTTTTTCTTTTTTTTTTTTTTTGTCCTTTTTGAGACTGGCCGCACCGCGCTCAGCCAGTGAGTGCTATGAGCGCATCGGTCATCCCTATATAGGATCCGAACCCGCGGTGGGAGCGCTGCTGTGCTCCCAGCACCGCACTCTCCCGAGTGCGCCATGGGCTCGGCCCTATAGTTTTATACTCTTAAATTCCCTGCTCTCAGTTATGTTCCTCTTTGGCATCTTGGTCACTAAATGTTTATACTCACAATTAATACTTTTTTCCTACATAAATATTTGTTTACTTCTTGTATCTGTTATAATCCCTTGTTTTCACTTCTAAAATATGTTTGTGGCAGGTCTACATTTCACAGAATTTGTGAACATTTCTTTATTACTCAATAATAGAAATTGGCTCCTGAACTCCATTTCCTCAAGGTATTTAAGTGCACACCCTGATGAATTTTTACATATGTATGAGTTCATGTAACTACCAACAAGATTAAGATAAGGAATATTTCCAGCAATTCAGAAAGCACCTCATGCCCTCTCCAGTCAACCCCTCCATCCCCCAGAGGAACCGCTCTTCTGATTTCTACCACCAGAATTGAAACTCAAGTTTCTTTTTTTTTGTGCATTTGGCTGGTGGGTAAGGGGATCTGAGCCCTTAAACTTGGTGTTACTAGTACCACGCTCCCACATCTAACCAACTGGGCTAACCGGACAGCCCTCAAGTCTCTTTTAAGCAAGTCCGTAGTCAGATTCAGGCTCATTCCTCTCCCCTGCCTCCTCCTTCTCTGGGAATCTAATTTGGGGGTGTCTTATTATCATCCGGCCATCAGGGGAGAGGTCTGCTTCAAGCATGGCTGGTTCAATAACCTGTTTATGTGTAACAAACCATCGCAAAACTTAGTGGCTAAACATAAGACATTATGATCTTTCACATTTTTGGGGGGTGACTGGGCTCAGTGGATTCTTCTGCTTAGTTAGCTTGAGGTCTTTTATGCAGCTGCAGTCAGATGGCAGTTGAGCTGGGTTCTAAATGATAGCACTGGGCTGGAAGGTCTGAGTTGCCTTCCTCTCTTTGAGAAAGTAAAAATGAGCTCAGGCTAAGAATGTAAAAAATCTGCCCACCCATTCATTAGGCTGGAATAAGAGATGTGGATAAAGCCAGATGTAAAGTTACAGGAAGAGATTTTTCATCCATGGGCACGCTTCAGCTGTAAATGGCTAACAACTGCCTTTCTTATTCACTGAGAAACTTTGTTTTCTAAAATCATAGATTTTCAGAAACTTTGATCAATAAGAATGACATGCCCTGCTTTTGCCTGGAGGGGCTAAGTAACCTTGACACAGAAACAACCTTAGTTTGCAACTCGAATGCAGAGGTTTCTGGATACAGCATTCTCCATCTATCATAGCTTTCTAATATCCAAGGAAACAGGACCCTGGAGACCCCTTCACAGTCCAGACCTGATGCTGAACCCTTTACACAGAGCCTGCTTTGCTTTAAGCCTAATAAACACTTGGATTCAGTACTAAAAATCACTGAACTGTGTAGTCTAAAATGGGGACTTCTATGTACGTGAATTTATGGTCTGTTGGATATGGCATTTCACTTTTAAAAAATGATAGACATTGTAAGACTTGGAATGCTGTGTACAGCTTTGAATCTGTTGGCATTTCCCAGGCCCACCCTGCACAGTATTGTCTTATTCCCATTACATAGCTCCTGGCGGATCTCCAGTGCTCCAGTTTGTAACTGGGCTAGGATACTAAGGTTTCCTTATCCCCCGCATCTCCCTTCTTCTTTCTGCACCCCTCTCGTCCTT